TTTTTTTATCAAAAATATCCAAGTGCACCTGGAATAATCATCAATGAAACTAACAAAGTAGCGGAATCCCAAGGTGGAACTAACCCGACTAGGACCCCAAACATCTAAATGAACTAAAGTAAAATGTGACTCTGTTCGATTATCAAGATGCTGAGGGAAATGGGAGCGAGTATGCTTACCGAGCTGACATGACTCACACTCTAGAGCTGACAAGTGAGATAAACCAGATACCATTTTCTGAAGTTTTGACAAACTGGGATGTCCCAATCGTTTATGTAATAAATCTGGTGAATCAGTAACAGGACAAGTTGTAGAAGGAAGACAAGATGTGAATCCATGTGATTTAGCAAGGATAAGGTAATAAAGTCCGTTTGATTCACGCCCGGTACTAATGATCTTCCCCGTACTGCGTTCCTGTATAAAAACATGATCATCAAGAAATAAAACAACACATTTAAGTGATTTGGCTAAACGACTAACATCTATGAGATTAAAAGGACTAGTGGGAACATAAAGTACTAAATCTAAAGGTAAGGAAGGAAGTGAGCTTGCTTGACCTATTGCAGTTGCCATGGTTTGAGAGCCATTGGCCATTGTGACTTTTGGAAGAGATTGAGAATACGAAATAGTAGTGAAAAGAGATTTGTTACTAGAAATATGATCTGATGCACCTGAATCAATGACCCAAGACTCAGAGGATGAAGATTGAGAGAAACAAGTCACGCTATTACCTGTTTGAACAACAGAAGCTATCTCAGAAGATGTCTGCTTACATGCTTTATACTGAAGGAACTCAATATACTCTGCTAAAGAAACCATCCGACTATTCAAAGCATCGGTTCCCATGTCGCTACAATTTGTAGTAGTAGGGTTAACTTGAAATAGTGGAAATAAGTAACTTCTGCGAGAAAACTGAAAAAATAGCTTGAAAAACACTGTTTACAGCAGGAAAAATAACACTGTTTTGTGCCGGAAACACTGTAGCTCGCCGGAAAATTCCAAAGTTGTCGGAATTTGTCTTAACCAGGATGGATAGACTCGGAATTCCCTTGCGAGCAAGCTGTCCTGAAGAAATGTTTTCAAAAAATGATCGGAAAGGTCACTGTTCACGTCGGAAAATATAAAAGTGGTCAGAATTTGATTTGAATTAGATGGGTAGGCTCGGAATTTTGAGGAGAGCACACTGTCCTGAAGAAGCTTCGCCAAAAAATGGCCGGAAAGTGACCGGAACTCTCGCCGGAAAAGTTGTTGTCACCGGCGCGTGGAGGAGCGTGGCGGCTTTTCTGCCGGATAAAATTTCAGGGGTTGGTCGTCGGAGGGTGATCTACCTCGTGGTGGTGTTGGTTTTAGCACAACAACGACAGAAAGTGACTTTCACTTAGACAAGCCTTAGGTCACCGGAAAAATTGCATGATGACTAAGTTCTTTCTTCCCGGTTAACGCTGGAATGACGCACACCGATCTTTTTCTCACTAATGCTGTGATACCATGTGAGAAGGTACGAGAGAAAATATGTTATTGATATTGAATAATAAATACAATACAAGAGGTCCCTATTTATAGCTATACACTACAAGGAGATATTACTCCTCTTCCAATGTGGGACAAGACTACACTATACATATCTGTAAACTAACAAGTGTAAAATATATTTATACCGTTAGGTCACCTAAAAGGTAAAGGAAAATAACTCTATTTTAATACCATCGGTTCATAAGATGGAACAAATGGTAAGTAACATACTATAACAGGTTATAACATTGATTATGTAAAGAATCTATTGCACTGATAATGTATATAACTTAAATCTTCTTACTAAATAATTTATAAGCGACTTAGTTGAGCTGAAGCTAAAAGCTGGATCAACCATATTATTAGTACCTGTATAATTGTACCCTTGAGAATAGCTGTAATGTAAATGTACAAGAGGAGCCACTTGTGTCATAAATGTTTTGCCGTTACTGGTTGTTGATATGATGCTAATAACTAAATATTGGTGATAAAGAAGCCTAATATTGGTTTCACTATAACCAAGAGCTCAAAACCTAAACCAATTTTTGCGAATTGACCTTCTGTTTCTGTTGCTTTGTCCTGAGATTTGTAGCTTTTGGGGTTTGTTTCTATGATATCATTTCTTCAAACAACTGGAATGCGAAGTTCTCCTTTCATTAGAAACTGAACACAGCCTTTTGGCTCCCCCAAAGAAGAATTAAAAGAATGAGACCCCTGAGTATGAGGAAGGACTCTAAACAGAGTGAAAAGATCAATCCGTTAGCTTTCCACATATTGTTTACAATGTTTCATAATCATTATAGTGTTTTTGTTTTTGCTTTGCAGGAGACGCACCATTAGTAATAGCCCGTGGTGGATTTTCTGGATTATTTCCTGATTCAAGCTATGATGCCTATATGGTGGCAATGGAAACTAGCTTGGCCAATGTGATTGCTTGGTGTGATGTCCAACTAACCAAAGATGGGGTCGGCATCTGCTTACCTGACCTCAAGCTTGACAATGCATCTGACATTGATGTGTACTTCAAAAACAAGAAGAGTAAATACTCAGTGAATGGAGTTCCAATGCAAGGATGGTTTTCTATAGATTTCAACTTCAAGGATTTGGCGCCTGTCACCTGTAAGTTTTAACTTATGGGATTTGGTTGTGTCCTTCACCAGTATGTTCCACAGATCATGGGCTGCAACTCCGCATGGCTTTATGTGCAAGATTCTGGAATTGATGTCCAAGAATAGCAATTATGCTGTAATATCCACTCCTATGTTTTAAATAATGAAACAAATTAATTGTAGGCGCTTCAGATTCATTTGGAGTCTTAAAAGGTTGCTCAGATTCTTATTTCTTCCTTCTTTTTTGCTCTAAATAATTGGGTTTTTGAGAGGGAAATGGAATCTGTAGTTAGCATCAAAACAGATGTATAGCTTTGCTATTTTTTGGTGCAACCGGACTATTGCAAATGACATAGATGCCATGGTTGACTTCTTGAGCTCATTACGCAATCTGTAATGTAGCTATCTCCTGTAAATATTTTACAGCACTTACTTGTTGCTGTGTTTCAATGAATTGCTTTTACCAATCAAAAAATAATAATAATTTGGGGTTCTGCCCTGGATTTTTTTTTCTTCCCCGAAATGGCATGTTGGACTCCACATGGTATATTTCTTTGCTCACCACTGACAGAGGAACTCTTTGATGAATTACAACACAAAGAAGGTGTGGATGATTGTATCAAACATAACTTTTTTTAGGTTTATTAAGATTTAGTGTGGCCACATCTTTCTAAAGTGGACTCCTCGGTGAAATATGAATTGTCATGATTGTAAGTTGCTAGAGAGCATAGTATGCTAGTATTTGGTAATTAATCCAGTTGCATACCTTTTACCCTTCACATGATATTTATGTTTAAATCAAAGACAGGAAAACCAGTGATGGTGTCTGATAACCCAACACCAAAACCTGCCGTAAAATTTTAAAATTGGTATGGCAATTTATGTTGGTTATATAATCTAGAGACCATAGCTAATTAGAGATGTTAAGCCTAATAATCCAATTGCATACCTTAGAGATGTTAAGCCTATTAAAACAAAAGCCTATTTCTTTGTGCATATACAAGTTTCTTCTGGTGACTGAAGTTTCTACACAAGATATTAATTACTTTGCTTTTCGGACAGTGAGGCAAGGAGTTCTTTCCCGGACCCCTAAATTTGATGGCACACAGCAGAAAATTCTAACTGTCCTGGATGTGATTAACAAAGTCAAACCTCCAGGATTATGGTTGAATATCCAGGTACTTATTCAATTCTGAAACGTTTCTACATAGTGATTGTTGTCTGGTGTTAATTATTTCAGTTCCTTTCCATCTAAACCAATCAATTATCAGTTTGCGTTGTTACAACATATTGCTGTATATCACAGCATCTTGTTAAAATGGTGCCTTGAGCTTGTGTCAGTACTGCTTTTATTGATCCCTTGTTTTGCAAATCCTTTTTGCAGCATGACACCTTCTTCAGCCAGCACAATCTGAGTATGAGAAGCTTTATTATAACCCTGTCCAGAAGTGTTATCATCAACTATATTTCATCACCTGAGGTGAATTTCCTCAGAAGTATTGTGGCACGATTCGATCCACAAGTTACAAAACTCGTTTTCCGGTTTCTCGGACAGGATGATGTTGAGCCTTCAACAAATCAAACATATGGTTCTTTATTGAAGAATCTCACATTTATCAATACATTTGCCTCTGGAATTCTTGTTCCCAAATCTTATATTTGGCCGGTGGACAACTCACTCTACTTACAGCCACATACATCACTTGTCTTAGATGCTCATGAAGAAGGTCTTCAGATTTTTGCGGCGGAGTTCGTAAATGATGTGCCTTTTGCTTACAATTACAGCTATGATCCTGCAACTGAGTATTTGTCCTTTATTGACAATGGAAACTTCTCTGTGGACGGAGTACTGTCCGACTTCCCAATAACTCCATCAGCAACAATAGGTAACCATGCTACAATTGATGAATAACAAAATCTGTTAATGTAAGCTTGTATTGTTGCTTTCATAATTTTAGTTGCTCATTTTAGTCAATTATCTTGATTGTGAATAGTGATGACTTGTTGGGGATATCTTCAATTTACTGCAGTCTCATAATTTCATGCATTTTTCAACAATTATTTCCAGTTTGTGAATATCTTATTGTGCCCTTGGTGCAAAGTAAATCTAGGTAACTCCAAACTTTCTGGAGGCTGAAATTGTGCTGGTTTACAAGGCCTGAATAGTTATTGGAACTGCAATTTTGGTGTTCTGGACTTTGGAAATGCATAGGCTAATCATAGAGGAACAGAAATAATATATGTTTTCCACACATATGTGAGATATGCGGAGTCAAATTCATAAGAGTGGTTGACCAATAATATAAAGTACAATAACTTGTTTTGTAGTGATAAGCTTTGTGCTATCCTTGATTTGAATATACAAACAGACCTGAAAAGAAAAACAGGTAGCTTTCTTTAAGATAAATTGATCATTGATATCAACGAGGAGATCTTGGACACACTTGATTTGTAAAGGTTGTGAATTGTGATAAGTGAAGGTGATCGCAGAGGAACTCTTTTGCATTTTATATTCATGGACACTTTCAGTTGGTCTTGAAACTTTATGCTTTTTGCTTTTTATCGTGATACTCATCATTATTCCCATTCTTTCTGTCCTTGCAGATTGCTTCACTCATTTGGGCAAGAATGATAAACCTCAAGGTAAGCTTCTAATGTATGCTCTTATTTTTGTGAGACCAGTATGTTGTTTTGCTCAGTAGTTGGCTTTTATACCCAAAATGTGAAAATGCAAACCAGTATCTTGCTACACTTTTGAGCTAGTCCTGTACTCAAGGTTGAAACGGAGTGGAAAAGATTTGATTCTTGAAATTTCAAATTGTAGACCGACTCTCTTGTCTAATTAAATGAGGTTATCTAGGTGGAGCTTGGTTTCAAATTACAAACCCAGCATAGAGACTCTTCTATGAAAGAATAAGCAAAGATTTTGAAGATTATATTGTCTTGGAGATACTTAAGCTTTTTAAGAGAAAATAACTATAACATTTGATGAGTCATGTGAGGCCAAGCTAGCACTTTTAGAGCTTGGCGCAACGATGTAACCATGCTCATATCTCGAGGCGGATTCAGTTGTTCTTCTATGGATCAGACATAGTTTGACTTGCACCAAGATTCTCTTATTAATAGGCGGCTCTGCTGCTTTAGTTTTCCTACTGTGTATTTATTGTTTTCATTACAGTTTGTACAGGAAAATATATCTCAATCTTTCCTCATTTCCTGTTGGCCTACAGCAAAGCTTCTGATTATGACATCTGAAGGAGCGAGTGGAGACTATCCGGGTTGTACTGATTTGGCATATACCAAAGCTGCTATGGATGGTGCAGATGTTCTTGGCTGTCCTGTCCAAATGGCAAAGGATGGAATACCCTTTTGCCTGGGTTCTATTAATTTGATAGATAAGACTACAGTTGCTCAATCGCCCTTCGACAATATTGGTAGTGCTGTCCCAGAGCTTAACATAACAAATGGAATATTCACCTTTAACCTTACTTGGGATGAGATTAAGAGCCTGAAACGTAAGTTGGACCAACTTTCGTTTTGGTTATTATTATTTTTTTGGATAACTGTGGTGTCCGGGCCGACTTGCGTGCACCTCGACTAATTCCATGGGGTACCTGCTACCTCCCACCAGCTCAAATACCGAGTAATTTTGTCCGACAGGTCTTGGACAGTTAGGAGGAAATGGAAATCACCTAGTGTTTTTTGCGTTTGCTGGGGATTTGAACCAACTTTCCTTTATAGTACTAGATGCTACAGCTTTTTAAACTAAACATTTACTGCCTTCAAGTTTTTCTGGATGCTGAAGATAGTATGTTTGAAGATAATTATTGTTGATGCATATGCAAGTTAATGGGCTGAATTCGGAACTTATCGCAAGAAATTGGCTTGTGAATTGTCATTTTCTTTGCTTGCATGTGAATAATATAGGTGTATATGTGCCCTCTTAATACTTATAAGGTTAACTTCTAGTCTAACATGAATGTTAACCTATCCTCAGTCCCAAACAAGTTGAGTCGGCGATATGAATCCTCACTGGTCGTGTATCTCCATTTAAATCCATCTCACGCTAACATTATACATCTGTACCGTACTACTGAAGTATTAAAGTATATCGATTTGCCTAAGAGTGAGTTTCTGGTGTCAGTCCTAACTATAATTGTTTTTCCTATAGAAGACTTTCAGTCTTTTGATATATAGAAAAGACAACCAAAGTATGAGGACCATTCATCTTTTTCGTCTGTGGCTTGTTAAATTGAAATTGCATGTGGCTAACTCTCAGGGAACAATGCAATTGTGCTTTCATGTTTTAAGTTGGTTTTTACCATTAACATTACAGCTACTATGTATCTTCGCGACTATCATCTTCTTTTGAATGAGAGAAGATGTCACACAAGATGGATTCTCTATTACAACTTTTAAGAACCTCTATGCACAGATATGTACCTGTTTTAGTGATACTATATTTTGCAAACTGCTTAGCATATAACTTTTTAATCTCATCATGATGATTCTTTTCTGATGTTGTTCTTCTCCAAGACATTTGATATTTTGGAGAGTACATCACCGGAATCTCCCCCTCCCCATTATCTGCAAAGGTTTCGGATAACAATTGTGATTATGCTTCAATCCTGTACTTGACATGCTTTACTTTCTTGTAGCGGCAATATCAAACCCATGGTCAGAGTTTAGATTGTACCGAAATCCAAAAGCCAGAAATGACGGAAACTTCGTGTCGTTAGTGGATTTCTTGACATATGCAAAAAATGCCACAACTGTATCTGGTGTGATGATCGGCATAGAGGTGAGTTTATTTACTGCCTGTTCTGTTGACATTGTTATTACCAATTACATTATGAATCAGCAAACATAAAGTTGATATTACACCTAAATGCGTATATCCATTCTGCAGTAGTTTTATTCGACGTCACATAAATTATGAGAGTCCGAAAAAGGGCTTTACTATTCCATGAAAGCAAAGAAAATACCAAGAGACTTTTGGAATATGGATGAAACAATTTTTAACTTCACTTGTTGACATGATGGGTTTTTCCCTAAATAGAAGAAATCTTTTTTGCTCTTGTGGTTTGTGTTTCACACTCAATTGGCACTGAGGGATGGAAAAAGAATGCTTTGAAATGGAATATTCCAAAATGCAAACGACAAAGTGTTTCTGAAAATTTAAGAATAAAGTCTTCCCTCTGAAGATCCAATACTCATTACTATTTATTTTCATATGATAACTCTTTATGTTGGGGGATGGCTTGTGGGTATGGGAGTAAACGTGGATGCAACTTTCAGAGCAAAGCAAGAGGAGGGAAGGGAGACATTTTTGACCTAGTGTTGGTAAATATGTAAAGCAAAGATTTTATTTTTCCCTCTTAATATTATGTTTACTTCAAAAGTTAATTCTTTCCTCTAAATATCAACATTCACATTCCAATGGCAGGTTGGTCTCAGTTTTTAACTAGCATCAGTATTTTTCCTTTGCTGAATGCAGGAAGGATCCTTATGTATTATTCCATCTGCTAGCTTTTTGTCTTCCTCAACTTTTCTTTATAATATATTGTTTAAATACACATTTTCTTGGCAATTACAAATTACAAAAAGTAATCCTGTTGCTTGCTTAAATAGTAAACGTATCTGCTCTCTCACTAGTTTTGTGCTTTAGAAGGAAATTATGAACTCTGTTTGCTGAGTTATGCTTGTAAAAAATTTAAAAGTTGTGTATATAGCTGACAGTTTTCATTTTGTTTTAAGAAAGAAGCAATCTTTAGTGCCAGTAGGAAGCAACAAAATCCATACCAATTCATTTTTTATTTAACAATTTTCTGGCACTTGTGCAGAATGCAGCTTACCTGGCAAAGCATGGATTTGGCGTGACTGCTGCTGTTCTTAAAGCCTTGAGCAGCGCTGCTTACAATAATCAGTCAGCCAAGAAAGTTATGATCCAATCAACTGACAGTTCGGTTCTGAAAGAATTTAAGAAAAGCCAGTATGAACTTGTTTATAGGGTTGCTGATGATATCAGTGATATTAAGATCTCAACTATATCCGAGATCAAGAGCTTTGCTAGTTCTGTAATTGTAACCAAAAAATCTGTTTTTCCAAGTGAGGAAGAATTTCTCATTGGGCAAACAGATGTGGTGCAGAAGCTGCAGTCATCGAATCTCCCAGTGTACGCACGACTCTTTAATAATGAATTTGTGTCTCAAGCATGGGATTTTTTCTCAGATTCATCTGTCGAGATAAACAACTATATCTCTGGAGCTGGTATTGATGGTATTATAACAGAATTCCCCGGCACAGCTGCTAGATACAGAAGTAAGTAATTCCTATAGCTTGTTTTTACTCCCATCACATTCCATCCCCAGCTTCTCTTCCTTTATTTCCTCCCTCCTCTTTTTTGTACATTATCTTGTATTTCATGCACATGCATAGTTTTTGTATGGAATTTTGCCATCTACATGCTGAAGTACAACTGCGATCTGCCATGTCTACTCGTATTTTCTGGAGATTTTGCTTGGTCTTTCTAATCTAAATTATAATAGGAAATGCTATACTAGTAGACACCAGAAGCTTATGTATCAATTATCAAAGTCAAATTACTACTGATTTGGACAAGTAGGAATTATATTTAGAAATAACACTGATTTGGGCAGTATGGATTCTATTTTGGACAATGGTACTGATTTGTGGAACTTCTGGGTTATAGGGAACCGTTGTTTGGGTTACAAAGACCGACCATTGTATCTTAGCCCTGTTGAACCTGGAGGTCTCCTACAATTCATGGCTCCTCAGTTGTTGCCAGCAGCTGAAGCTCCCAATCCAATACTTACTGATAGTGATGTGGTTGAGCCACCTCTACCTCCTGTTGCAAAGATCACTCCTACTGCTGGCAATGAGTCTATAGCTGCAGCTCCCACCCCTCCAAGTGGTCAATCCTCGGTTGTGGCTGGCGTTTTCACAAGTTGCGTCGCCATTCTTCTTGCCAATCTTGTGATCTATTGATCAAATCTGATCATTTGTGCCTCAGTGAGAGCACTTTGTATGTCCATTTTGCTGATCAACTTCATGTTATTGCCGAAGCCATGCATGATCGCAACAGTAGTCTATATAAAGAGAATAGAAGAGGGAAAATAACATGATTGTTATATTGGTTGTATCGCTAAGTAGAGAGAGAGTCTGTACAACAATTAAATCAACAAAGATTTAAGTTGAAAAAGATAAGGACTATCAGAAAAGAGCCCAAATAGGAGGAAAAGTTACAACAAAATCTTAAAGATTAGGAAATACAAAAAATAAAAATCTAGAGCAATAAGGTAATCATTCGTTATTACGCACCCAACTTGGAAAGTTGCTAGACAAAGGAGGTTGTTTGGTGAGTATATCTGCTACTTGATTAGCTGAGTGAAGGTGTTGAACTTCAATAGCCTTATTTTGAACTTATTCACGAACAAAGTGAAAATCAATAGCAACATGCTTCATCTAACTATGGAATACGGGATTGGCACAAATGTAAGTGGTGCTGACATTGTCACAAAAGATTCGAGGAGTGGTTGAAATATGAAAGTGAAGCTCATGAGGTAAACTTGTTAGCCAATTGATCTCTGAAACAGTAGCTGCAATGGATCTGATATGCTTCAGTCGGTTATATTGGGTAGTTTTTAATGTTTTTAACATTTAGCTTGTAAATTAGTTTCTACCTCAGTTAATTGGCCCGAAATATCACCCCCAGTGTTGTGAATGACTTTGTGAGTGAAATGTTAAAATACTCAAAAGTTGAGTGACTTTAATGTTATAAAATAAAGAAAAGTGATTTTTTACACAATTTCATTAGTTGAGTGACCTGTATGGGTCAAAATCTACCCTTAGAATATTTAACACAAGATAATACTAAGGAAAGAATTCTCAAGTCGTCGTTAGTTGAGATGGCCCAAGAAGCAGCAAAATCCATAGCCGAAGAGTCGACGAGAGCCGTGGTCGAGATGTCAATAAGGGTCGAGGTCGAGTATCGTTGACAGAGCTGTAACGACTAGTTTTCAAGATAGTATGTTAAAAGAGAATAATATTCTATTGAATATTCTCCACACTTGTACAAATAGGAAAAAGAGACAATGATAGGGGCATGTGATATTCATTTGTAAAGAACACACGTTGATAAAAAGATTCGTCTCTCTCTTGCTAGGATACAAACACCATCTTTTAACTAAGATTCTTGTCTATACTTTTCCATCAGATCCGAGAATAATTCAAAATATTCACGGATTTGTTTGCCATTCATCATTATGAGGAGGAACATCCACATATTCCATCATTTATTGGGTGAATCATTACTCCTATTTACTTAAATGCCATTTATTGCTATTTATTGTTATTGAATGCTATGTTATTGCTCTTGCTTTCTAAAACAGTTACTTCATATTGTTGTTATTGTACGACCGGAACCATCTAATATTTATTGCATCTTTGAATGACTTCATCTAGAGATATTATTGTTAACTAAGATTAACCTTAAATTACACGAATTTAATTATTTGAACCAAGGTCCATATTTTTTAGTCAAACATGACCGAGCAATCAACTCCATTTCATGTGCATTGCATATTTCTTGACAAAGCTTATGGCTTAAGGTCCCTTTACGTTGTTTGATTAGGAAGTTCAGTTCCTCGCTGGACACCTAGAGTTGCCAGCACCTATGCCAGAACCGGAAAGTCATCACTTTCGTCCTATATTCTTGCATTTCGTAATATAATGTAATCTGCAACTTTTTCCTTTTTTTTTTTTTTTGTCATTCAAAATATTGCTTCAATTTTTTAAAAAACCAATCGAGAATAAGAATAAAATGAGAAACTGAAATAAGATATATGGAAATGACAACAGATTGAATACTTTTTCATTAGTTGAAATAAAGTTTCTATCAACTGTGCTGGAGACCTTATATGACAACCATATAGAAAACGTAATTTCTCAAAAAACCTCCCCGTCTAGATAAATCAGCAACCTAAAATAGACAATCAGTGTTATAGGGTAAAATACGATATGACACGTGGCTGACCAAAAGGAGGACATGTGGAATCCAAGATGAAATGATTGAGGACCGAACGCAGCCACTGCGCTTGTCACCGGAACGGATAACGTTCATAAAAGTGTATTAAATGCTCTGCGCCCGGTAGCATTTACTAAGGAATATTCTACAGCATTAAGAGCAACAATCCGTTACAAAGAATTTGGCATTTACGCTCAACGTTATATTTTCATCAATGACCCTCATAATTGACATTAAAGGAAGGCACGATCCTAGGACCTTTCTTCCCTAGACATAGCTATAAATAGTGAACCCAGTTATCATTGTAAAGGGTACGAAATTTATGGAAAGAACATATATTATATTCTATACAAAGGTTTATACAATTTCACTCTCTTGCTTTTTGATCCCATCACTGCTGTGTTCGGAAACCGTGTTCACGGAATCACTATCTTTGCTATTTCATCTATATTCCAAGGCTAAGTATTGTGTATTTCTTTGATTATTATATTATTTCGGGATCAAATTAGTTCACTTGTCTAGAAATCACGTATAAATTCAACTGTACCGTTTTACAGGTAAACAGTTTGGCGCCCACCGTATGGCCTAGACAGCCGTGCAATTAAATTGATCCTTGCCTTTTTTACTAACGTGTTTTGACTATTTTGTCTTAGAAAAAATCGCAAAAAAATGGCAGATAACACTGTTAACGATGTGCACAACCCTAAAATTCAAGGGGATCAACCTCATTTCGAGGACTCAATCAGTGACACCCGCAATGAGGAGAATGACGCCACGCCGGTGCATGACAGACGATACCCTTGACAGGTTCGGGAGAGAACTCCCGATGATGCTGACGAGTGACGAGGATCAAGTAGCGGATGCTGTGAGGATCTTGCAAGAGCAACATGCAATCATTCTAGGCCATCTCACACGGCAGGATCAGGTTATGACGGAACTAAAGCATACGCTATCAGGTGCTTCGAATAACGCAAACAGGCGCGATCCGACTCCTCCCGTTGCTCCCGCAGACCAAACAACACAGAGAATCGATAACAACACTCCCAGGGGTAAAGTTGGCTCTGATGGGGCTGGGGGGAGCAGATTAGGTCTTAATAACGAGAACGATTCATTCAAAGATGAGCTTTTACGGTTCATGAGGGAAGTAAACACCCACATGGATCAAATCCCAGGCGCGCCACCAGTATTGAAAGGCCCGAACTCGAAGAAGTATGTTCAATTACCGTACAAGCCAAGTGCGATGCCAGAACTAATCCCGAAGCATTTCAAAATGTCTGAAGTTCCGAAGTATGATGGAACTTCAGACCCAGAAGAATATATTACCACCTACACAACGACGATGAAAGGAAATGATCTAGATCTTCACGAAATTGAATCTGTATTGCTAAAGAAATTCGGTGAAATTCTCATTAGGGGAGCCCTAACGTGGTATTCATTACTGCCCTAGCATTCCATAGATTCCTTTGAGATGCTCGCAGATTCTTTCATTAAAGCTCACGCCGGGGCCAGAAAGGTACAAGCCCGGAAGGTCGATATATTCAGAATCACATAAGGAGAATCGGAATTGTTATGAGAGTTTGTTACCCGATTTCAGAAAGAAAGAATGTTTCTCCCGGCCATCCCGGATAAATGGGCACATGAAGCATTCACCAAAGGATTGAATCCAATGAGTTCAGACGCTTCTCGGAAGCTGAAAGAAAACCTGCTTGAGTTTCAAGAAACAACCTGGGCAGATGTTCACAACCGGTACGAGTCAAAGATAGGGATCGAAGATGACCAGGTCAGTTCTACATCATCAGCCAAAGGACGGGAGAAGAATAGAGAAAAATCAAAGGATGTCTACGACGCGGATAGGCAGACTTCGAGGGGTCGAGTTTTGCCCTACGAGCGTACTGAAGGCCCTGGCAGAAATTTTTGAGCAGCAAACAAGTTCACCGCTGACAGAGAGACTGATCGTGGTCGAAACAATAAATCACTTCAAGATAAACAAACGTCGGGGCTTCGAGACCTTTTTTACCCAGGTTGTCAGAATATAACTTCAATGTTAGTGTAGTGGAACTGGTGTCAGCCATGAGGAACATAAAGAAGCACGATTTTCAAGACCTTTGAGGTCCGATTCCAGCCAGAGGGATCCCAATTTATGGTGCGAATACCACGGGACGAACGATCATCGGACAGGGGACTACCGACATCTTCGGGAGGAGGTGGAAACGCTATTGAAGAATGGTTATCTCCGAGAATTCTTGAGTGATCGATCTAAGAACAATTACGGTCGCAACAACGTAAAATCTTCGAAAGCAGGAGAAGAAACCCCACACCAGACGGTCAACATGATCTTTGGGGGGAACGAGATTAACCGGGTCACCTTTTCGGCAGAAAAAAAGACTAAAGTATCGATAAATCATAACAAAAGACTTGGGGAAGAGATATCACTTTCACGGAGGAAGGCACAGACGGATTGCTGTTACCACACAATGATGCAATGGTAATATCTTTAAATGTGTTGGATTTTAAAATTAAGCGTATTCTAGTGGATCCAGGAAGTTCGGCTAATATCATACAATGGAGAGTATTGGAACAAGATAAACTCACCGGAAGCATTATTCCGGCAACAAAACTCCTCACTAGATTCAACCTTGCGAGCGTGACGACCCGGGGAGAGATCCTGCTGCTCATGAACGCTGAAGGAGTAATGAAAATAACTCTCTTCGAAGTTGTGGATGGTATGGGATACAACATCAACTTGGAAAGGTTATGTCTACACGAGATGAAAGTTGTACCTTCGACGTATCACCAATTGCTGAAGTTTCCAACGCTCGAAGGAATCAAGCAGATAAGAGGTAGCCAACCGACAGCGAGAGAGATGAATGCAATCTCAATTTCCAGTAGCAAAGGGAAGGAGCTCACGACATAGCAATTACAGGAACTGATGCCTACTCCCGAGTTAGAAGAGGTTATTCCAGGGGCAGTGTCGTCAAAACAGTATCAGGTGCCGAGATATTTCCAAGTTCCGGAAGAGACGGACGCAACAAAGTCCACGACAGAGGAACTAGAGCAAGTAAAAGTCATTAGGGTAAAGTAAAAGAGCACTGCAGTATTTAAAAGATAGCACATAAGTAATTAATAGTTCATGTCCTAATTTGGGGACCTCGTTGTGCCCGAGGAGGCCTAAACGATAAGTAAAGGAAAAATTTGTGCCAACATTGTTTCATTCCATTAACGTGAAATAAATCAAACCATTTTATTACTAAAATAAAATAATTAAATAGAGTCACTAGTTGCACAAAGCCTTATTACATCAATTAAAAATAAAATCTAACTATAAAATATTAAAGGAAATTTCCTATTCTTCTTGGTCTCAGATGGCCATTCTCCATGTCTTGCTTTCTTTTTTCCTTCGATCATGTTCCCGAGGTCGCACATGTCAAGTAACAGGTAGTCCATTTCTAGTTTTGCACCTTCATCATATTCCATACCCTGGCAGTCACAAAGTCTCTTCCTCATTTACCCCTCTAACTCCATCAATCCCTGCTCCAAATACTCAAACCTTTCTGTCGCTTTGTTTGTTATTTCTCTCCATTCTCTTATAGCTTCCGTGTCTGTCTTGTGTTGCTCTATGTGCTTGGCTTTGGATTTGAAAACCCTCTTGTGCAGCCTTTTGTATTTTACCTGAGCTTCAGCCTCTTCATCTATAATCCATCCCTTTAGCTTGATACCAGGTTTGACATCCCCGGTTATATCATCTTCCAGCCACGAAAGGTAATAGTACATATGTCCAACATGATACCTATTGGGCTCTATGGTCTCCTTTACCATGATTTTCTGATTCCACATATGCTAGGCTTTGAACTTGAAAGGTATAACATCCCGTTTAAAATATGCCTTATATTATGCCATGTTGGCTATTTGTGATATAACCTACTTTCTTCCAGCCTGCCTCATTACTCTTATTAGATTATAAGGGTAAGTACCTCAAAATCCTATCAACACCAGATGAGTAGGCTTCTTGGATCGGGTTATGAACTCTTTATTGGAAACCATTCGAACATCCTATGTACCTGTTCCGGTGAAGGCTGTGGTGTTAGATGAGCGAG